ATCACGTTTGTTTGTTGAAGAAATCCTTGTACGGATTAAAACAGTCTCCAAGACAATGGTACAAAAGGTTTGATTCCTTTATGTTGGGTCATGGTTATTCGAGGAGCATGTATGATAGTTGTGTTTACTTCCGGAAGTTAAATGATGGTTCATTTGTATACTTATTATTATATATTGATGACATGCTCATTGCTGCTAAGGATTTGACAGAAATTCACAATTTGAAAAGTCAACTGAAAAGTGAATTTGAGATGAAAGATTTGGGAGCAGCTAAGAAAATCCTTGGCATGGAGATCAAAAGAGATCGAGAAGCCAACAGGCTATTCCTGACCTAGAAGAAGTACTTGGAGAAAGTCTTGGAGAGGTTTGGCATGAAAGATGCTAAACCAGTGAGTACCCCTCTTGCTGCTCATTTTAAGTTATCAGCTGCTCAGTCACCACAGTCAGAGGAAGAAGAGAGGTATATGGCACAGGTACCTTATTCCAGTGCAGTCGGCAGTATTATGTATGCGATGGTGTGCACACGCCCAGATATTTCGCAGGCAGTAAGTGTAGTGAGCCGATATATGGCTTGCCCTGGTAAAGCACATTGGCAGGCTGTGAAATGGATTCTCAGATACTTGCGAGGTACTTCAAACACATGTTTTGAGTTCGGGAGAAATACTAATACTTTGGTTGGTTTTGTAGACTCAGATTATGCAGGTGATCTTGACAAAAGAAGATCACTAACAGGCTACGTATTTTGCATTGGTGGTTGCGCTATCAGTTGGAAAACTACATTACAACATGTAGTAGCTTTATCTACTACCGAAGCAGAATATATGGCAGTGACCGAGGCTATCAAAGAAGTCTTATGGCTGAAGGGTCTCTTTGCTGAACTCAGTTTACACCAAGGTGGTATTATCATTTTTTGTGATAGTCAAAGTGCCATTCACTTGACTAAAGACCAAATGTCTCATGAGAGGACGAAGCATATTGATATCAAGTACCATTATATCCGGGAAACCATTGCTGATGGAAAAGTCTTTGTTCAGAAGATCAACACTAGAGACAATCCTGCTGACATGTTCACGAAACCTCTTCCAGTTGTCAAGTTCAAGCTTTGCGTGAACTTGATTGGCATTTATGAAGAATGATTTTGCCCATTGGGGCTTTTGCAGAGAAGGTGGAGCAAATTTACTATATCAGCCAAAATTAGGCCAAGGTGGAGATTTGTAATATGGCCAATCTTTTGGGCTAGTGGGGTCCATTTTATATAGGCATAAGCCTATTTGGAAGAAGAGTTGGCTGGCAATATTTTTACTTAGAGCCAAAGTGTCATTGTGTGGTAGAGATTGGTTGATCAATTTCCTTTTTCTTTTTATTAGTTCTTGGAGCCCAAGTTTGGGTCCTATAAAAGGAGGGCCATCTCTTTCATTTAAAATACACCTTGAGATGCAAAAGTAGAAGTATTTCTACTATCTTTTGTCTTCCTTTTCATTATAGAGTATTTTGTAAGAGAGTGAGTGTTGGGAAACACTTGTGTGAACCCTTTCTTTGGAGTGATCTTGTGAGGTTATTCTCTTGGGGTATTTGGGACTAATTAGAGTATTTACTCTAATTTTGTACTCTCTTTTGTACTCTTGTTGATATAGTGAAATTGCTTCTCTCCGCTTGTGGACGTAGGTCTCCTTGACCGGACCACGTTAAATTTGTGCCTTCTTTATCTGCTTTAATTACCGTTATTATCAACTTGTGTTGTCTTTATTATTGTCATTATAACGTTGTTTGGCTAAATTCCTCACTACCCGGGTTTCCGATCCTAACACGTATTAAATATGGGTTGGATCGGATAATTATCCGTTTTTTCATTATCCGCTTTCGATCCGTCTAATATCCTACCCGCCCCGACCCGCCCCGTCATTTGCCACTCCTACCTACACCCTACGTCATTTTTTATCATTCTCTCATAAATATGGTAACAATGAATTGGTAATGGATACACATGAATGCTCGTGTCCCATTATTAGTCTATTAAAAAGTATGTAAATAACTTAATCTGTTCGTTGCCATTACCATGGGCCTAACCTCCTGTGCTCTTTTGAACATTATTTTGATTTTGCTTACCTTTTCTCAACTACCTTTCCTTTTCCCTTTACCACCAAACCCAACAGATGAACAGTTCGCGCGTTTTTACCACTTTATTTGAAGTTAATTATCTTTTCAAGATTCTTTCTTTGTTTTCATTATTCAGCGTGTGAAATTTATTTGTCCAACACTGTAACAAAATTATTACAAAAGTTATAGCGATTTCTATCGAAGGAGATTCCATTCTCATATTTTGTATTTGAGACATTTTGATTAGAGATGAAGTAACTTTTACTATTACAGTCCTTACTTTTTAAGATCCTGTATACGGGTAAAATCGAGGATAGAGTTATCCCCAATTTTTTGTTGTGAAAGGAGAAACGACGTTACTTGTTACTCGTTCGGGTGAGACCGAAGGTAATCACAAGTCGGAACCAAGAACGGACGAATGATATAGCGGGTCTCGAGCACGGCCGGACCTGAAGAAAATCAAGCTCAAGTGAGATGAAGAATCGAGGGTAAAGGAGGCGGTTAAAGGAGTCAGACGAGGAGCCGAAATATCCGCCATCAACCGGATATTGCGGCACGGATCACGCTCGATACTGACTGCGGATCTTATTTTCGTGTTAAAGAAGGAAGGAAGAGATTTTTACTTTATTTAGACTTAAATCTCCTTTACTATATAAATAGAAGGACCCCTTCATTTTTCACTGACTTTTTTTTTATGTATAACAAGGCAATACAATTTACTTTAGCTCTTAGCAATCGTTTTAAGTGTTCTTCAATTAGTTACCTATTTATTCGGATTCGAGTTCTATCTCGAGGGCTCAATCGAGACCAACGTTAAACATAAGGTTTAATTACTGCATTATTTTGGTTTGATCATTTCATCTTATTTCAATTTAACTATTTATTGTTTTTTGATAATCATTTGTATTAAATTAAATCACATATCCTTTAAATTGCGTACAAAATTAATTGTTATCGATTTTAAGGGTAAACATATCCATATCATAGATCCATATCCTATGAATTGTCTCTTGCTAAAGCAGTCCACATTTCACACCACCATTAATTATTTTTCTGACTTCGAATTGTAATATCTGTTTCCAACTACGAATATACGACTTTCACTAACCTGCTCAAAACACTTTCTTATCGTATCTTCCTACCTATGTTAAAGAAAACTAAAAGATTAAAGTTGTTCGAACTGATAATTTGGTAAAAGATAATCATTAAATGGAAGGTCAGAAACCACCGTTTAAATACACCATAATATGGCATCAACTTTATGGTCAACACCTTATCTTTCTGTGCTATGTCAATACATTACGAGAGACAAAGAGTCGTAGCTTTTTCCTGGTGGTATCAAATTACTCCACCATGTCGACGTTTTCCTTGACTTATAGAAACTATTATTATTTTCCTCCATTCGTATTAAGGAGATCACCTTACTAATTAGTCATATACCTATTAACTTAATTTACAAATTGTAGTCATATTATGGGACTAAAATAGCATTAATTTACTCCATCTTTTTGCTAGGAACAAACGTTGTAACACCATTGTCAAATTTATTTTAATCTGTATGTATAAATATTAAGAGATATTCATCACCAAATAAAAAAAAAAAATTTAACCTCTTTATGATAATAGCTATTCCCAGCTGTGCTATTCCTACTATTATCATATTTCTTTTTTGGACAGTCTACAATTAATTCGATTGTTTGTATTTGATATTTGGTGGTTAATATAGGAAAATTATTTTATTATCTTTTATGTCTTCTAATTAAAAATATGTAAAGAGACAAATTAAAATTGCGTTTTACAATTTTGAGAACTTTTATTAAACCAAAAATATAATTTGGAATGGACAAAATAAAATATCGAAAAATAAATTGGTAAGACATTAAAAAGGCTAGACTATCTATTGAGACAATTGGACTCCTATAGAAATAATGTAATTCAATTCGAATAATCGAACGGAGAACAATTTGGACTAAATATTTCAAACTGGCAGCCAGCAGGCATTAGAAATCTGTTTGTTTCAGGCATGGTTGGCTTGGGGGGCGGATTTAGGGAGCGGAAAGGGGTATACTCGAACCCTCTTCGCCGAAAAATTACACTGGCATAATCTATTTCTTACCTCTATATATTATGTTTTGAATTCCCTTGACACAGTCCAAATATATAACTTAGTGGTCAAGGGGGTTCAAAAACCTTTGTAAAGTAATTGATTCAATTCTCATTAGCTACAATTTTTTTTTTTTTTTGAACCCACTTAACAAAAATCCTGCATCCGCCACTGGTTGGCTTTTTATTTTTTCTTTCAATTCAACAATAGTTCTATCAGAGATACTACGTCATTTTTGTTAACTCTTAGCTGAGAGAGGTAAAGGACACGTTGTTATTATTGTCCTGATGCTTGGTTGCTTACCAACTACTACCAAGTTGCTCAAACCTAAGCTTTCACATTCAACGGTAGGCCAGGTCCAAGTCAAAATCAACAAATTCGTAAATTAGATTTATACAATCATAATATTACTTAAAAACTATTTACGTACCTGTAATTGCTTATTCTAAGCGTAAATTGGCAACTTGGAAAAGACTATATATAGTAACAAAAATACCAACAAAAATAATTTAAGTATTTTCTCTGCCAACTTATATATATAACTAAAATAATTATTTTAATATGACTCTTGCTGTCTTTTAAAATACAATTAGAAGGTCTAATAAAAGTGTGCTAAATTTCTTAATCATATGTTAAATAATCCAAAACAAGGAAAGCAGCCATGTTTGTTAAACTGTTACAGGTTGCGTTCCTAGCTACTTCCTTGTTAGAGCACGGTTAGTTTCTTAAAATCATATTTATTGCCAATTTGTCAATCGACACTTCTGGTCAAATGATGATCCTAACAGTTAGAGATATCCTTATATATATAAGTCGATCCTCATTTCACATTCCCCATGCATTTTAAGCATACACAAACTTGAGAAGAAAAAGAGTACTAATATTATCATGAGTAGAGAGACGATGGCTGATGTTGATGAAGCTAGCTCGTTACCGATAACGCCACGGACGGTAACGGTAGCTCCAACGTTTCATTTTGATGATCAGTTTGGCTCTTTACCCATAACTCCACGGACGGCGTCACTAACTCAAACGCCGTCCGTAGTATCTTTACCGGTAACACCACGGACGGCGTCAGTAGCACCAACGCCGTCCATAGTATCGTTACCTCCTTCACAATTTCACTCTCCATCTCTTTCTCGATCACCGTTACTTAACGTGGGAGATCATGCTGCAAATCGAACCAGTAAAACCCCAAGATCACGAGGATTAACGCCGCGTTTCATCACTCCTTTGGGAAGTCCTCTTAGAAAGGCACTTAAAATGACAAGATTAGACCCACAGGATGCTTGGCTTCCCATCACTGAGTCACGAAATGGAAACGCATACTACGCTGCGTTTCATACACTTTGCTCTGGGATTGGTATCCAAGCCCTTGTCTTACCTGTTGCCTTTACCATACTTGGCTGGTAATTTCATTTACATACATATGTACCAACTTTTGGTCTATAAATTTTTTATGTAATGATTGACTAACCTAATATATATGATGTGTTTTTGTAATTGTTGCAGGGCTTGGGGTATCATTAGCTTAACGGTAGCATTTGTATGGCAGCTCTACACACTCTATTTAATGGTTCAACTTCATGAAAACTATGAAACAGGAATGCGTTACAGCAGATACCTGCAACTGGCATGCGCAACATTCGGTAAGCATCAATATAGATTCTTCATCAAACAAATTAATAAAGGGGACATGACCCAATCTGTCCAAAATTTGTCGGGGCTAAAATAGATTGGTCAGTGATAAAAAAGAAATAGGTTGGGTCAAGATCGGTTAAATAATGTATCATAACATACTTGTCCCATGCACATGCATGATCCATTCTTTTCCTAAATTATTAGCTTAAGGTCTGCCATATTTACCTATCCTCAGTCTCTCTAAATTTGTTTTATATCTTTGGATTTAATTAGTTGCATCTTGACCCATTTGATTATGTTGGATCAAGCAAACAAGTATATAGGTCATAATCCTAACTGTTTAAATTTGGGTGGTTTACTTTAATATGAGTTAATTTTGCCACCTCTGTAATAGATTAAATACAAGGAGTACGTATTTAGACGGTTGAAAATTTTTCTTGACGTTAAATTTTTTTATGCTTTGGTTCAGGTGACAACTTAGGCAAACTATGTGCAGCGTTTCCTATCGGATATCTCTCAGCGGGTACATGTTGTGCGCTGATTATAATAGGAGGTTCAACAGCAAAGCTGTTATATCAGACTTTATGCGGAGCAACATGTAGTAATCCAAAGCCATTAACAACGGTGGAATGGTACTTGGTTTTCACTTGTGTTGCAGTGGTTTTAGCACAGTTACCAAACTTGAATTCTATAGCTGGAATTTCCTTAGTTGGTGCTGTTACGGCCGTTGGATATTGTACAGCATTATGGACAGTTTCAGTTGCTGAGGGTAGACTTCCTAATGTGTCATATGATCCAGTTAGGAAGGGAACTCAAGTTGCTAGGATCTTTGATCTTCTTAATGCTCTTGGTATTATTGCTTTTGCTTTCAGAGGCCACAATCTCATACTTGAAATTCAGGTAATTATCGTCTTCTCCTTTCCTTCATTTCTTTTCCTTATATAGTAAGATTAATTTCATTGAATTCTAACATAAAGGAAAGAACGGAAACACATAAGCTTGTTTTGTTTAACACTCTATATATCTTGAAAAGACAAACTTCAGTTTTCACGTTACAGTTGAACACGAAAATGATACTGTATTTAGCTTATATACTATGAATAAATTTTATATATCATCGTCATTTAACTTATTATGGAACGTAATTTGTCTTATTGTTCTCAATTATCGATCTTACTTTTTAAGATAGTTACATACTCTTTTTGGTGATCTGATATGAAAAAATTCTTTATAATACTATTAGTTGACAGAAGATAAAATAAAAAATAATAATTCAAGATTAAAAATTGATTGTTGATTAGGATTGAAGAGGTCACCTAATTAAGCCTAGAAAGTCGTCGTAATAGTAATAATACATTTTTACTACATGTAGTTAGGTACCTCCACATTGAAAAGCAGACAGAACAAGTTTGTTGTTGACTTTGACTTTCGCTGACCTTTTTAGTCGGACACTTTGATAGTTGTCACCAACTTTTGGGGTTGGGATCCCCTCCAGTGATGTTTTAGTCCAGTATTGTTCAATGGGGTGCTGATTTCATGACACGTGTTGTATTAACTAACCAATGGACAAGATTTTCTTAGCTAAAAACTAGTTTAACCATGGTTCTGTTTGTCCTCTCAGCTGTTCTTCTTTAACCCTTTTCAAGCTATTCTTTCGTTCTCTTTCTTTTTTCCTTCTTTGCTCTCTATGACTAGTATTTCTTTTATTTGCAATATTAATTATTGGATGGTGGAGAGAGGACTCTTCTTAATAAACATTTGCACTTGCCTCACCTTATTTAAATTAGTCCAGGAAAGAAATAAGCAAATAATAATGTACCGAAAGGATATCTAGCAATTCAAATAGGGCAAGTAGAAGATAATGTTTCATACTTCAATCGCCCATTTTTTATTCAGTTACTCAAAGAAGTCTGAGGCAGTAAATTTTTTTAATCAAAAGGGTACACCATTACCATTCCTTGCTATGTCGAAGACTTTGCTGCGTTCAAGCCAAGATTGATAAATACCACCACCACCCTCTTCATGTCCGATGTGTATTGTTTTAGATCCTAATTTTTTTTCTTTTCGATGGTATGGTTGAGATGAAAAGTGGCATCCTAGAGGAATTCGTTTTGCGGATATGCATAGAATTAAAATGGCTTCGAACGTCACTATACTCAATCCTGATATCGCTTAAAGAAAGCATCTCTAGGTGATTTCACCTCCACTTTACTCGGTGGCGGAGCTAGAGAAGTAAATGCGGGTTCGGACGAACCAAGTAACTTTTGCTTAAACCTTGTATTTGTATTAAAATGTTCAAAAAATATGTATAAATATTTAATTGTGAACCCAATAACTAAAACGAGTTATGAGTTCGGTGACAAATTCCGAACCCATAAATTTTAAATCCTGGCTCCGCCTCCATCTTTACTGATGCTAAAATGAACTTGAACAGATCCATAAAAGAACAATAATTCATTAGCATGAAGCGAAACAAAATATGTTGGGTAGTCTTGACCACATGGACGTAGAACGGGAGAAAAAGAAATTGAACCATGGTTAAACTAGCATTCTAGTTAAAGAGATCTTGTCCATTAATTAGTATGTAGAACACGTGTCACGAAGTCAACACCCTATTGAAGAATACTGGACCAAACATCACCGGAGGGGATCCAAACCCCAACTTTTGATTTAAAAAATTAAATTAAACCTAGCAAGTCAAAAATAAATATATAATTTTGGTTGTGACTTTAATAGATAGTAATTTTTTTTTTGTTATTGGATGAACGCAGGCCACAATGCCTTCAAGTGAGAAGCACCCATCGCGAGTACCTATGTGGAGGGGTGTACAATTCTCATATTTACTCATAGCAATGTGCTTATTCCCCCTAGCAATTGGTGGCTACTGGGCTTACGGTCATTTGGTATGCTCCCTTTCCCACTTTCAACTCTTTTATAAATTATGATACAACATATAATTCTAATTAATTAACTTTTAAATAATCTCATACAATTTTATTTCAGATTCCAGCAAATGGGAGCATGTTAACCGCATTGTTTGCATTCCATAGCCAAGACGTTTCACGATCAGTATTAGCTCTGATAAGTATTTTTGTGATAATAAACGCGGTGAGTTCCTTTCAAATCTATGGAATGCCAATGTTTGATGATATGGAATCAGCATACACAACTAGGAGCAAAAAAGCATGTCCGTGGTGGCTCCGTTCGATATTCCGGGCAATTTTCGGATTCGTGTGCTTCTTTATAGCCGTAGCAATTCCATTCTTGGGTAGTTTTGCTGGGCTTATTGGAGGAATTGCACTGCCTGTTACTTTTGCTTATCCATGTTTCATGTGGCTTAAAGTCAAGAAACCCCACAAATATTCTTTAAGTTGGTGGGTAAATTGGGGACTTGGTCTCTTGGGAATGGGCTTAAGTGGGATCTTGGTTGCTGCTGGTTTGTATGTTGTCATTGACACTGGTGTTAAAATTAGCTTCTTCAATCCTCAGTGAGTAGTTTTCTACCAAAAAAAAATATATGTGTGGAGAAAACTTTACTAGTATGAACATATTTGCCAACTTGGTGAAATATTGAAAAGGTTGGTGGAGTAGGTTTAAGAAAGAATTTAATTTGTTGGTAGGTAGATTTTTTGTAATTCTTGATGGAAATTCAAAGGAATAAGTTGGTGATTATTCCACATGAACGGGTTTGAATACTTTGCTTTTGGTACTCCACAAATGCAGTTTTTGTTTGAAAGTAGTTGCAAACTTCAAATGCAAAATTCTTGAACATGATTATGAAGTAAAATAATCAACATCCTTAACTGGTTAATAGCCGCCCTAACTCATGGATAGGGGTGGCAATTTGAGCCCAAACTCATTCAACCCACCCAGAGATTAATTGGTTGGGCTACAAATAATTTAGCTCGTGGGTCTATTTAGGCTGAGCCCAAGTTAACCCATTATTTTTTATAGCCCATTCTGACCCATTAAGCAACCCAAATATAACGTTAAAATAGCACGGTATAGCCAGTTTTCGGACTGGTCATTCAAAAATAGCCAGCGTTTACCAAGTCAATGAAAAATAGCCACTATTTTGCTGCAACAGAGACCGGCCCAGCATAATATACTGGAGTTTCGTGCACCTGTGTATGAACTCCAGCATATTATGCTGGACCGGTATACTTTGCTGGCTCCAGTATAATATACTGGAGACTGGAGCACCGATGCTCCAAACTCCAGTATATTATGCTGGACCGGTATACTTGCTGGAACTCCAGTATATTATGTTGGAGTTCTAGTGTACTTATGCTGGAACTCCATCATATTATGCTGGAGTTCCAGCATACTATGTTGGAACTCCAGTATAATATGCTGGAGTTCAAGTATAGCTATGCTGGAACTCCAGCATAATATGCTGGCGTATTTTCCTAGTTTTGAACAGTGTTTTCGCCTCAGATTTATCTTTACATGAAAAGTGGCTAAATATCGAATACTTTTGAAACTGGGCTATTTTTGAACGACTAGTTGTAAATCTGGCTATTTTTGAATTTCACCCAAATATAACTCATGAAACTCACCCAAAACAAATGGACCTCAACCCAACTTATCTAGAAATTTACTTAGTTGCCCCAATTTCACTTTTTTTTTTATTTTTAGTTTTCTGTTTTTTATTTTTATGCACCACCCACCCACCCTAGCCCCTAACCCCCGTGCAAACCCCCTCAATATTTTTCTTTGTATCTTTTTTTTTGGTATTTTAATTTTCTGTTTTTTTGTTTTTCTGCAACCCCCCTCCCCTACCTCCCTAATCCCCTCAAATTTTTTGTTTACTTTTTTTTTTTGTATTTTGTATTTTGTATTTTTTTTTATTTTTCTGCACCACCCACCCACCTTAGCACCCCTTCCCCGCGCAAACCCCCTCAATTTTTTTTTTTTTTACCTTTTTTATTGTATTTCATTTTTCAGGTAAAATGCTTTTCAACTTACATATTTTTTTTTTTATCTCCCCCCTCCCCCCCAACCCGCAAAATATTTTTTAATTTACACATTTTTAGGTAAAATGCTTTTTTATGCAAGATGAGCATGGTTCTAAAATATGTGTCAAGCTGGGAGCGTTGGACTATGACCTATTATTTAGCCCATCTTGACTCAGCCCATCTTAGTCCAAGTATACTTTGGACTGGGTTGGACAATGATCCACTTATTGATCTACCCCATCAAATTAAATCTTCAACCATATTAAAATGTGAAGCCGAGTCGCCCAATACCTTGTAATTGTTTGAACCATTGAATGTGTTCCCAGTCCCAACTCTCAATTCCCAACTTGGTCGGTGCAAAAATTCTTTAAATTTCTTCGTCCAATAAGCACTATTCCATTGTTACTAGGTGACCTCAAGATTGTTACATTTAATACAATTTCTTAAGCAAATTTAAAAGGCTTTTGCTTTACACAATGTACGACCTGTCATTACATAAATCTCAAAATCACTAAGAACATTGAACACTAAGATAACACCTCAATTTACGTAAACCGTCCAAACCGACATTTCAGTACTTTCCTAGTACCAATAGCCGACACATGAACACATAGCTCGCCAATCTCCAAATCTCATCTCCACATTATCCTAGTATTTGTTTCACCTATATAAACAGAGTCTTGAACAAGGCTATAAGCACAAAAATTCACTGAAAATACAAGCATTTTAAAAAATTAGCTTCAGTTTCATATAGATCCTACTTGTACTAGTCAACTCTATAGAAAAGAAAAGATGGCCGAGCAACAAAATCACTCGCAGGAGAATGTTAACAAGGGTGCAGCTCCAGAGAGTACTGACCGTGGATGTGGATTGTTCAATTTCATGGTAAAGAAAGAAGAGAATAAGACCCAAGATGACACTGTCATGATAGATGTTGTTGACACTACTACTCCCTATCCCAATGTAGAACCACCAAAGGAAAAAAAAGAGGAGGAGGAGAAGCACACTAGTCTCATGGACAAACTTCACCGCACTCACAGCAATTCAAGCTCGGTAAGCTACTAAATTAATTGCTCCTTATGTACTTAGCGGGTCAAATATATCCCAGTACTATCATAAATGATTTAAATATATCCCTTTTTATACTTTGAATCCATATATACCCAGTCGTTATACTATTGGTTTCTATTGGTTCAAATATACTCATTTTCCGTTAAGTTTGTTCAAAGTGGACATCCAATCCTACGTGACACTGACATCTAATGAGGTAGATGCCACATGGCTTGCCACCTCAGTGCAACTAACCCATTTTACGCATCCCTTCTATTTTTTTTCCACCACTAAAATTTTCTTCCCGTCCACCACTATTTCAATCATTATCGCTACCATGAAAAATATTGTATTTCAAATTTTAGTCTTTTATATAGGGATTAGGGGCGCTGAGGTGGCCTGCCATGTGACATCCACCTCATCAAATATCACTGACACGTATGATTGGATGTCTACCTTTGACAAACTTAATAGATGAAGGGTATATTTGAACCAATAGTATTACAGTAGGGTATATTTGGACCCGAAGTATATAGGGTTTATTTGGATCACTGTACTTTTTATATTTGGCCCTTTCCGTTTACTTAGCTGTAGCCTGATAGTAAATATTGCTGTCCTAGGACGCGCTGCAAAGAGCACTAACTTTTATAAAATTGTTTGAAGAGTCATTTGGGACATACCATAATCCAACGGGTTGGACATGTTTCTAATAGATGGGTTGATTTTGTCAGCTTAAGATTACAGACTCTATATTTTTCTCACTGGTGTTATTACAATTTTCTTTGTTTCGCTTCTAATTATTTCAGTCAAGCGATGAGGAAGTGGACGAGGTTACTGGAGAGAAGAAAAGGAAGAAGAAGGGACTGAAAGAGAAGATCAAGGAAAAGATTTCCGGTGATCATCATAAGGAAAGCAGTGAGCAAAAAGTTGAAATGGAGAACTGCAGTACTGTTCATGTGGCTGGAAATGCAAATTATGCAGAAGCAACACACGAAGATCAAGAAAAGAAAGGAATAATGGACAAGATAAAGGACAAACTTCCAGGTCACCACAACAAGACTGATCAAGAATTCCATCCCACTACTGCAGATGAGCAAGTCCATGGAGGTGATCATACAAAAGAGAAGAAAGGATTACTTGACAAAATCAAGGAGAAATTGCCTGGACACCACAAGAATACTGAGGATCATGAGGAGAAGCACAAGTCCAACTGAAATACATGAGAATCATTCTAGGCATCTAGATATGTATCAGGCGCGCTGACCAACTTGTTTGGAATTGAGCCGAAGTAGTAATTATTATTGTTGTACTTTTGCTTTTAATTAATGTTTTTTCATTTGCTTACTCTTGTTTGGAGTAGTGATGTGATCCTTTGTAATTGGCCCCACGTGCCATGGTACTTTTTTATTGTTGTGTATGTTATATTTAAAGTTCCTTCAAACTTTCCTTCTGTTGCATGTTTTGATCAGAGCTAGCTGTTGTCTTAGCTGCTGGTGTCTGTCTGCTTGTTAAAGCAACTTAATCTATGAAAAATGAACTACAGAAATTTAAATTGATAACTTTAAATTTAAGAAAGCTGCAAATTAATGCTAGACGTATGTCATACACGCAATTTACAGGATAGGTGTAGAATACAGTGACCTTTCTTAAGCATGTAACGGATTGCCCTCTTTGTCCTAGTAGTAATGCTGAGTATTTTTTTTCTTTTTTGAACCGATATGTGTAGTTTCTTTGAGAACTGAAATTGTATAGAAGTTAAACTTTTTGATAAAACTTGAAAACATATGGTTCTCTCAGATACATATTTTGGGTGGGCAATCTGAAATGCTAAAGCCAATGGATAACTGTCCAAATATCCCTTTTTATGATCACTATTTAAATGTCATCTCTGTTTTAAAAGGTTACAAATATAGTCCTCAAAAATTGCCCCTTTTAAACAATGTTAGAAAATTTGCTCACAAAATATTGGATATATAGTAGTCTAACATTTGCAGTAACTAACATAATTTTAGATCGTAATCTAACGTTTTCTTGTAAGGTTTTCAATTTGGTCCAAGAAAATCTTTGGACGAGGTGTAAAAGGTCTATTAATTGCAAAAGAAATAATAAAGGGTCATTTTTGAAAAAACTGATGCAAAAAGAGAGAACTAACGAAAATTTCACTATCCCTCCATTCACTAGCCCACTGACTTATGAGCTGATAAATAATGGTCTGGACCATCAGCTAATTTTAGAGGTTTTGACACAACTACCCACAAAAACAAAACTATTTATCCTTGTCTATCCATTTGTTTTTCTACCCATAAACTAATTACATTTCCTACCCATAGTAGTTTTTGTGGGGAATTTTTTCTTTATTCTCCAATTCTTTTTTATTTCTATGCTTCTTTTCTTTCTTTTTTTTCTTTTTTTTTCTTTTCTGCTTTTCTTTTTTCTCGTTTTCTTCTTATATTTTTTTTCCTTTTCTAATTTCATTTAACTTCTTATTTTTTTATATTCTTTTTCTCTTCATAATCTAATTTCATTTTCACTATTTTTTATTATTCTTTTTTTATACAATAAGAAAAATAATTGATATAGTAAATATTTGTTCACCTTTTTTAATAGAGAAAATCTCACTTTATACCCATTAAATTCGAACTATTTACCCTTAAATACCCATACATAAACTATTTACTTTTCCTACCTATGCAATCAATACTATTTACCCGCCCAAATGGTTTCCTTATTTAATGTATGTAAAAACTCCTAGAATTTAGAATTTTGAATGCAAACAAAGAATTTGCTATTTTTTCTCTCCTGACATTAAGAACACGATTTTTCTTCTTTTAAATTTTTGTCTACTTATTTTTTCGTTAGAGAGTGTTAATAATAAATTTAACGAAATCATGTTAGAATAATTTTACAAGTTAAAGATGTATACAATTAAAGTAATAAATATGTATTCCATGTTGGATATAATGAAGGTATGGATAATATTTCAAATATTTAAGATCACAGTTAATTTTTAAATTTTGAATGTACTAATATCTTGAACTCTGAGTTCAACTATAAACAGTTGAACTTCTATGGTGATAGAGTAAAAAACTCTTTACACTAACTAAAAGAAAAGATAACTAGACATAAGTATTCGTACATAAGAAGCCATATAAGTAATTCGGAAAATAGGCAAGTAACATGCTACTAATGTATACTTTTAAGTTAGGAAAATCAAAATATACCTGATCTCGGACAATATACTGATTAAACATTGAACGTGGATTTTCTGATGTATAAATATTGTAGAAGCCATGATGCACCAAACAAAGGTGTTCAATATGTGTTATATAACTCTAAACGTAATATTTTACCTAAATACACATTGTAATTTTTCGACGAAAGGTGGTCAATTGACCACCCATATGACCATGTGGCTTCGCAACTGATCCAACCTCATATATTGTCTATATTTTGTAAACCTTGCAGCATAGTCAATCTAGAGCATTGATTGACTGGCTGGTAATGCTTTAATAGTTTGTTAATCAATCATTTGTAGAATATTCTGTGAATTTGAGTCACTATTTGTTAATGTTATGTGAAATTGAAGTCACATTGACCACTCTTTCTCCTCAGCAGCCAGCGCACAAAAAGATTGTCCTTTCCGCCACGCTACTGAAGTCCCGCATTAAATAGGTGCCAATTAAAGGATCTAAGATATGGATTTCAATACCACGGACCTTGAAGCTTGAAACTCATAACTTGGTTTGTTTGAGTTTTTAATTGTTTTGATCCGATCCTATATGGGTTAGTTTGGAAAGTTGATTGGAGGTTGTAGCTAAAGTTTCAGTCAATTTGGTGGAGATTTTGTAGTAAATTTTAGAAATTTGGGTTGAAATATAGTTGAACCAGAGAAGAAGACGAATTTGTATTGTATAATCAAATAGTATACAAATATACCATTTTAGTATACAATTCATTCCAACTATATACCCTATTAGTATAGCTATATACTATATTGGTATCATATGCTAGTTGAATTATTTTTTGATTGTATTAGCTACATTTAAATGGTACTATATTTGATTTTCTTCTAATAATAGTAATATAGTACAATATCTTGAAATAACTTATTATATTAATATGTGGTACACTATTTTTTTATTTTTCTCTTTATGCATGTGTGTTATGTAATAGTAGTATAGTCATATAGTTGCCGGGAATTAACTAGTAAAACTGTATACCATGTTGGTATAGTTATAAACCATATTGGTATCATATGGTAGTTTGAACATTGTTTTGGTTGTTTTAGCTGCATTTTAAGCGAATTCTATTATGAAATTATTTATATCAACATGAGTTGCAATAATGCTGGAATTTTTGTGTGCCGATGGACATAAATTGTGTGTATTAATAGTTTTTATAGTTATAGGCAATTGTTGGAACGACCCCATACAACTATATACCTTCTTAGTATACGAAATGAGCAAGTTGTTTTGCGAATATTTAGCTTGCAATACGAGCATGTAATTTTCTCATACTTTTATTGCGTCCTTTAATGTTTTGGTAGAGTAGTATAGTCGCAGATAGTCGCAGATAGTTGTAGAAATCATATGCTCTGTTGGTATACATATATACCATATTGGTATCACATGGTACTAGAAGTCTTTTTCGCTACTTATACTTTTGTTGTATTTTTTTAATATTTTATTATCATTTTTATTCTAACTAGTATATATGGAGCTTCGGTTGCCGTAGATTATGTTTTCTTGCTCTATAACTGGTTGTATTACTTCTTATGGTAGAGTGTGCATTGATATTTATAGGGAAGGAGATCAAGGTTTGCATGGCAACCACGTGTTGATTCTTAGAATTTGATTATGTAATTTATGGTGCTCAACAGCAGTCAATGTGATATCCAGTGTATTAGATCAAGTGACAACTGATATTATTTCAGTTTATAATTGAATTTAAAAAATGAGAAAAAAAGGTATATTGTACTAGTTATATTAAAAAAAAGGTGAACAAATATTTACTATATCAATTATTTTTCTTATTGTATAAAAAAAGAATAATAAAAAATAGTAAAAATGATAAATGAAATTAGATTATGAAGAGAAAAAGAATATAAAAAAATAAGAAGTTAAATGAAATTAGAAAAGGAAAAAAGAAAAAAAAAAAGAAGAAAAGAAGCATAGAAATAAAAAAGAATTGGAGAATAAAGAAAAAATTTCCCACAAAAACTACTATGGGTAGGAAATGTAATTAGTTTATGGGTAGAAAAACAAATAGGTAGACAAGGGTAAATAGTTTTGTTTTTGTGGGTAGCTGTGTCAAAACCCCTTTTTAATATACCTAGTACAATATACCTTTTATTTATTTTTTCTTTCTCATTTTTTAAATTCAACTATTAAACTGAAATAATATCAGTTGTCACTTGATCTAATACACTGAATATCACATTGACTGCTGTTGAGCACCATAAATTACATAATCAAAATTCTAAGAATCAACACGTGATTGCGATGCAAACCTTGATCTCCTTCCCTATAAATATCAATACACACTCTACCATTAGCAGTAACACAACCATTTATAGAGCAAGAAAACATAATCTACGGCAACCAAATCTCCATATATACTAGTTAGAATAAAAATGATAATAAAATATTAAAAAATACAACAAAAGTATAAGTAGCGAAAAAGACTTCTAGTACCATGTGATACCAATATGGTATATATGTATACCAACAGAGCATATGATTTCTCTTGAATATTGCTACAACTATCTGCGACTATACTACTCTACCAAAACATTAGACGCAATAAAAGTGTGAGAAAATTACATGCTCGTATTGCAAGCTAAATATTCGCAAAACAACTTGCTCATTTCGTATACTAAGAGGATATATAGTTGTATGGGGTCGTTCCAACAATTACCTATAACTATAAAAACTATTGATACACATAATTTATGTCCATCGGCACACAAAAAATTCCAGCATTATTGCAACTCATGTTGATATAAATGATTTCATAATAGAATTCACTTAAAATGCAGCTAAAACAACCAAAACAATGTTCAAATTACCATATGATACCAATATGGCATATAATTATACCAACATGGTATACAGTTTTACTAGTTAATTCCCGGCAACTATATGACTATACTACTATTACATAACACACATGCATAAAGAGAAAAATAAAAAAATAGTGTACCACATATTAATATAATAAGGTATTTCAAGATATTGTACTATATTACTATTATTAAAAGAAAACCAAATATTGTACCAATTAAATGCAGCTAATACAACCAAAAAATAATTCAACTAGCATATGATACCAATATAGTATATAGCTATACTAATAGGGTATATAGTTGGAATGAATTGTATACTAAAATGGTATATTTGTATACTATTTGGGTATACAATACAAATTCGTCTTCTTCTCTGGTTCAACTAT